GAGAGAAAGAGAGAGACAGGAAAACAGTATGGAGAGATGTATTTCTAGTGAGAGACCTACAGGTATGGGAGAGATATATTTCAGATAAGCCTTTAGAGTCCGGGAATGATAGGGCTGTTGAAATTGTTGGGCTGAAAGCTATTTTGATGGAAGAATTTCAATCGTTGAATCCAAAGTCTTGAAATAATCTAAGGCACGAAAAATTAAAGACAAAAAATTTAATTACTTTATTATATAGATGCATGCAATTTTTTTTTTTTTTGGAAACATTGGGGGCTTATGTAAATAATAAAAAAGATTACATCTGTATCTATTGTATCCCTCCCAAACCTCCATTCGTAGGGACTAAGGGGAGTGTTATTTTTTCACACAATACTATATCAGGAAATGAAAATAAAACTAGACACTGCCTTACAATATCATCTAATAATGGATACCAACTCTATATATTTTTTATTGGTGTTAACTGATTATAATTTTTTTTTATTCATGATGTGTTGGGTTTATTTCACATTAAATGAATCGAGTGAGAAACGATCACACTTATCCTCAATAGAGTGTGTTGATGATGCTTTGACTTTTTACACGTTTACCTCGTGGGATTTACTCTTTTCTTGTAACATTAATTATGTGTATGCTAATGTATAATACGCATAGGCTTATCAATAGAGTGAATTTTAATTTAAATTCGATCCAAATTTGAGTCCATTTAATCGAATATGAATTAATATTTTAATTTGTTTACCCAAATTCAATTAAGTTTCTTTAAACGAACTTAAGCTATGTTTGGTAACTGTCTTTGTTTCTGTTTTTGTGTTTTTGTTTTAAATTTTTGTCAAAAATGAAACTAAAAATATGTTTGGTAATTGTTTTTGGTTTTGTTTTGTTTTCGTTATATTGGAGACAAAAACAAAAAAAAATGGGAACAAAAAATTTTTGTTCCAAGAAACACGTGAAACAGAAACAAGCATTAAAAGGGATTAATGAGATCCGGGTTTTGACCTCTCTTAGCAGCAAAAATACTCTATTTTTCGTGAACCTATTTAAACCCACCCATCTCTCTCTCCTCTCCTGTCCATCGCTAACTCTCCATCGTTGCCTCACTCTCTCCATTTTCTCACCTTCACCGACAATATCTCATTTCCTCTCTCTCACCGACGGCAGGTAAGCCCCTTCTCTTTCTCTCTATTTCTCCCTCTCTCATCTCATCTCCTCGCTCTCTCTCTATATATATACACACAACTTCGTGGGTATGTATATATATATGTATATATACACAGATCTGATTTGTGCACATATGCATAGATCTATGTGTGTTGCGTGTGTGTTGTGTGTGACGGCGGTGATGACTTAGGTTCCAATTTTTTAGCTTTCTTCGTGGGAATCTGCTAGAAAGTTGAATTCTTCTTAAGAGAATAATGAAAAGAAGTAAAAGAGGTCCCACATTGTGAAGCCAGAAAGTTGTTTGAACATATAGGTGGCTGTTAGTTGTGAGTGTGTGGTGAGCGGCCCATTGATTTGTACAAACAAGCCGAAGTGCAAAAATTGACTAAGCAGTTATATATTCCCCTCCAATGGTTAACTACCTTTCAAAATGGAGGTGCCTCTATCAATGAACCTCGATCATTGATTGTTGGTGGGTTAATTATCCCTTCCGTTCTTTATTTCACAGCAACTGATTCGTTAGTATTTGTAGCTTTTCAGATGCATTTTTCATATATTTGTCGTTTCTTTTGGACCAAAAAAAAAAAAAATTATTTGTGGGTTTTCACCTGTGCCTTCCTAGTTTTTATTTTCTTGTATCTAGAGAAGGAACCAATAATGGTACAATTATCTAAATATGCTTTGATTTGTCTCGATTGCTAGGCATTATTATGGCAAGTTTAGGACATAGCGTTTGTATGTGGCTGTATCGGTTGCTACTACTAGAAAATGATTCTAAACCTTCTTTTAAACTTTTTTTAATCAATCTTTCATCTCATTTGTATGGTTTGCCCCATATGCAATAGGATGCCCTTCTGATCATCAGCCCTATATCCTTTTCCTCACAAAAGGAAAGAGCTTCATATTGCGTCCTCTTTTCTTGTTCCTCATTTGTCTCCGGCCTTCTGGACTGTTGTCTTGTGATACCAATTAATTATTAGCTATAGATGGGATGGAATTGAGATTCGTTGCGAAGTATTTTGCAGGGGCATGAGTTCCTGAACCATTATTGTAAAGGGATGACCTTTTTTTAGATTCACCTCATTGCCTAACCATTTCTGTTGACATAGAAAGAGCCATCTCCTTTTTTTGTAGCTGAAACATATTCTTAGCTGCAATCAGAGGGTGCTAATACTGGCTTTACTAGATTTATGTTCTGTCTATTGGAATTACTGATCTGGCAGTGCATTCTCAGCAACTGCAAAGTTGTGGTAGCATGGTTTTCCAAGAATTGATCTGTGGCAAAGGGATCAGAACACAGATATTGTTGTTGTGAAATGATGGATGGAGGAGATGGAGTTCTTGCTTTGCATTGGACTGCATTGATTGTTCTCTGCAATTCTGTACTGATCTGGAGCATGGGGTTGTTATTTTGTTGAATGATCTGAAGGTCTAATTGTTGGGCTGTTCTATTTTGCTGGTCTGCTTTGTTGTGCTGACTAGTACATTGCAGTGGGGTTTGCAGGCAGTTAATCTCAGCTGTTAGACATCTTTTGATTGTAATTAGAAATGGTTTAATCCATCTTGTAGGAGTAAAGCCATTTTTCATTTGTTTTAGAACGTCTTGTTCTTTGCTTCATGTAATTCATTCTTTTTTGGAAATAAAATTTTTTCTTTTCTTTAAAAAAGAAAAAAAAGGCTTATGCCCAATAAAAATTTTTAATATGATACGACATAAACCCGACTTATTTAAATGCTCTTTCATATTAAATTGATGGTATCCTACAGAATGCCTAATTAACCTACTTATTCCTCTATATTAATCAGTATTAGGAGTTGGGAAAGATATTATAATATCATTTGGCTTCTGATGGATGAAGTGTTTTTGTTGCTCGAGTTGATGTCCGTGGAATCGACATCACAATAATATAGGGTTCTATTGGAGAAATTCACAAAAAAGAATTATTTCAATGGATTGACAACCCCAAGTACACAATACCTTTTGTTCAATTAAAACATAATACCAAACAATGCAAGCAATGTTAAGGAAAAACATCCATTGAAGAGGAAATGGAAGTTTCAGCATTGAAAATGTACACACACAAACCACTATTTTTTGACATTGAAAAACATCAATTTTGATAATTGTTTCATACGGGTTGATAAGTACAACACAATTACAAATGAACAAAGATTAGTGCTTTGTTGAATGTCTTTAATTTATGGTTGTAAATCATTTTTATGAAATAAAGTGTTGATTTGTTTGAAAATACAAAAATGAGGTATTATAAAGCATATTTAAGATAAAACTTGAGATAGTTATCAAACATGTTTTTTGTTTTTATTTTCATAATTTGATAGACAAAAATGACTACCAAACATGTTTTCTATTTCAGTATTTACCACAAAATAGAGACAAAAAATTGTCTCTGTTTTTGGTTTTTTGAAGACGCAAAAAAAAAACCGTTACCAAACATAGCCTTAGATTTTGATACATGTAAATTCAATTCGATAAAAATTTAATCCAATATATGAGATTGACATAAAATTAAACAAAAATTATTGAATAAACTGATTAGTTGATTAAATTAGGTTAAAAAAAACTTAAATTTGATAAAATTATTCTTTTTTTTATAAAATTTGCTAGGATTCAAATTTTCAGATTAGATCGGATAATCGCATTGAATATCTTATTATTAACAAATGTAGATATGGATTAAGGTAAACGGATTGAATTCAAAATTTTGACTTTTTATCAAATTCAAATTTAGATAGATTAGGATTCAATCTAGATCCGATCCGTTGACAGTCCTAAATGCATATATGTTAATGCCCTATTTGGTTTTTAGAAAAGTTGAGCGGATAAAAAAAATTTCATGTTTAGTATCAAAAGAAAGTACAAGGGAAAGGCAAAGTGGAGGGAGTGCATTTCCCTCTAGCTCACAATTTTTTTCCTCCAAAAATGGGAGGAAAGTGAGAAGGAAAAGTGGGACGCTATGCTTTTTAAGAAAAAATTACTTTTTTGCCCTTCAATATCGTCTAATATATATACTACACCAATACACAATGCACTATTTAAGGTAGCATTGTAAATTGGGTATGCATGTTTTTCTTTTCTTTAATTTTTCATCCAATACCAAATGATGAAAAATATGTCTCTACTACAAAACAAAAAATGGGAAAAACTAATTTTTTTTCTTTCAATGATGAAAATTTTATTTTTTTAACTTTTCTTTCCTTCCTTATTTTCATCATTCGTATCACGGACCATAAGTGTTTCAGTTATGGACATTTGGTTAGAGGAGGGGATACTTTAGTCCAATATATCCCAACCTTAGGATAAAAGTCAAGTTTTAACCAAACACACGATACATTTAAAAATCATCGAAGTAACGCAAACGTTTTCGCATGTACACTCAAACACGTAGTCACCTAGGACACTTATAAGAAAATATTTTTTTTTAACATTTTTCTCCTTACTAGATTAATTATTTTGAATTAAAATAAAATCTATTGAATATAAGTGGATCACTAACTAATATATAATTTGTGATCTAACAAGAAGTAAAATGAGAGAGAAAAATATTGGAATGCTTCAAATTTACACCCACAGCAAAGAAATACATCCCGTCACGTCGTCAGGATTGACGAGAGAAAAAAGAATCTCTCTCTCTCCAGTCTCCCGCACACACAGACCCCCCCCCCCCCCGGCTGGGGGGCCCCCCCAAACAAATGTTAACGTGGTGCGCACATCGCAACCTCTACGTGAACTTCTCCAGGTTCTATGAGTGAAAAGTCACAAAATCTGAAAAGCTAAGAGCAGAGACAGTCAGAGATAGCAACAAACACCAGAAAACATGGGAACATCCCGGAGAAGCTGGTTTGCCATTGTCCGAGAAAGGTTTGCCCGACCATCTCCCCGGGAAACCATTATTGTCCTCCATACCAATAACACCATAACTGCAAGCTTCAGCGAGGAAGACGCAACTACGAGAGAAGAAGACCTCAACACCCAAATCATCCAACTCGGGAACCCTATCGCTGTTTCATCTTCATCAACCCAAAAAGAGTTTTTATCCGAAGAACGCATTGCAGCCATCAAGGTTCAAGCACATTTCCGGGGTCATCTAGTAATCTACCCATAACCTTTCTTTTCAAATATTTCTTTCTTTGAGAGATGGATATGCAGGATTTTTTGTACCATAACAAAAATACTTCCTATTTGTAAATTTTATTTTCATTTATTTAAAGTCCTTGATCATATAAGGGTTAATAGTATTTTTTTACTCACTAAAATATTTTCGTTTTGTCAGGCGTTTAATGTATCAATTTTATCAATTATTTAATATTTAAAATATTTAATTTATATTTAAATGATCTCTATACAAACAGCCCATTAAGCTTTGAAGAAAATGATTACGTGATACCATTTTAAAAAATTACATGTGATTTTTTGTGTCAAAAAACTTAACCCTAAAAATAATTTGTTAACGTTAAATAAGAAGTGCCACGTTTTTAATGGGAAAAAAAAAAAGAGAAAGAAAAATCCGATACTTATAACTAACGAGTGATGTTCTTCCATTTGGTTTATGAAACATAGGCAAGAAGGGCATTTCGAGCCCTGAAGTCTCTTGTGAAGCTACAAGCTATAGTTCGTGGGGTGTGCGTGAGAAGACAGGCTCGTATAGCTTTGCATTGCATGCATGTAGTTGCCCGGTTACAAGTCAATGTTCGGGGACGGCAGCTCCTGAGCAGGTGTAGTCATGATTGATTCGCTCGCTTGTGGCTATTTTCACGCATTAATTCATATATCTACCGTCTGGCTTTCTTATTCGTTCTAGCCATTGATTTTTCTTTGTAAATTTTTTTTGAAGGTAATTTGTATGCATCTTGATGGCAATGTAAACCATGGTATACTTATGTAATGTTATTGGAATTTAAAATTTTGATCTAATTTATTAATCTAATAGCGTGTTTTTATTTTACCAACACTACAAGAAAAAAAAGTTTTTACGGCAATAAAGTGTTGTCATAAAAGGTCTATCTGCTGTCATAAATATTTTTTGTGGCGGCATTGCCTCGCCATAATAAGCATGGTCTCAAAAGATTTTTACGGTAGTAACGGTTTGTCTCAAATAGTATTTATAACAACAAGATCCCGTCGTAAATAAATTGTCACAAAAAATCCGATTTACGACGGCAATGACGCCGTCACCAAAAAAAATAAATTTTCTTTTAATTATTATGGATGGTTGGTAACCAATATTTTATACTCTGTGCATATATACACTTTCATCACATAAATTTGAAAGCGCACATATGTATAACATTTTTTTTTTTTTAATAATGTTATATGGACTTAAAAATTAAACTTGATAATTACAACCATTGATTTCACTGTGGGTCCTAACATTTATTGAGACTCACTACCTATTCAATTGTTGAGATTATTAAGTCTACTTTTTTAAATCCATCTAGCATTACTCTTTTTTTTTTGGGAGGGGAAAGAGACTTGAACTCCTAATCTTAAAAAAGACAAAGTTTTCACAAAGTAAGGAGTACCATTGAACTAAATACCTATTAGTATTCGTACTACCCAATTCAATATATAAATAAACACAAAAGTAAATATGACCATCATTTCCAAAAACATAGTAATACTTTCATATAAAAAAACAATCTCATGAGTTAAACAAAATGTAAAATATGCACTTTTACAAAACATAACGATCCATGAGTACAAGAAATTAATCCAAAAAGTTGAACATCCTTCCCAAACCATCTAATCTTTCAGTGACATCTGAAAAAAATATTAAATTATTGTTCCTATACTGAAATGATATTTAAATACATATATACAATAAAGAACTAAAATAAATTAAAATATACACCAACATGGGCGGAGGTATGCATAGTCCAGGATGGGCAAGAGCCCCCCCTCAAATTTTTTTTTATTATCTAACTATATATATTATATATTTGTATAAATATAAAAAAAATTAAAAAAACCAAGCCCACATAAAACAAAAAAATTATGGGTCTATATTGTTGAAATTTGAGTATCGTACAAAAACTTAAAACTTAATCACGTTAAGTTGCGACTCAATGGAATTGAGTCTGGATTGATCCCCAAAACTTGGGGTGGATCTCAAATTGTTAAAATTTGGTATTGATCCAATTTTTTAACCAATTGAGTTGTCAATTAATCATGGTATATCATATCTTCTCAATTTTTAATAGGTATGATATGAAATTTTAGATTTTTCTGTAATACTTGTAGTTATATAGATAATATTGAACAGTATTATAAAAGCAAATAGAACAATGAAGTAAATTTTTTATTTTATTAAGTTTTTCTTCAGATGACCTTAATTTTATTATTTATAAATTTTTACAAGTAAAAGTTCTTACAATTGACCTTCATTTAACTTTTTTTTAATGAGAAATCGTCTCTATTTTTATTCGAGTCTTGATTATAATCTTTTTTATGTGTCAATCAATTTTAAATTTTTTTTACTATGTTTAACACTTAAATTTTAGTTAAATAGTTTTACTATGTTAATATCTCAGTGTATTTGGAATATTATTTATTTAATAAATTTAATAGATTGTTAGTAATTAACTGATATTTTTTAATTACAAAAATGACAACTAGTTCCATTTTTTACAATGGTGATAATTAGTCATTTTTGTACATATATAATATGCATTATTTTTTGGCATTTTTTAATGTTAAATAGACTTCATGTATCAAATGTGATATAATAAATATAAATATATTATATAGCGTGATTGGTTAAGAAAAAAAATTAAAGTGCATAATAAGTGTCCACCCTGAACAAAATTTTTGGCTCCACCCCTATACACCAATAGAAGGTCACACAATATTTCTTTGAACGGTTTGTCCAATTATGTAAATGGTATATAAACAAATCATATTGTATACATTTCTTCTAATTGGTTTCACCAATACTTAATTCGTTTATAATCGTATTATATCGGATCCACTCGTTTACTAAACATGTGGCTTAACGAAAACTCAAATTCACTAATTTTATGTCATGTTAACGGATCGTGTCATATTTTGACACCTCTAATTTTAATATAAAAATTTGACTTTGTAGAATTTAAATTTTTTTTTCTTTGAATTAAAAATTGTCTTTTGATGTAAAACTACGTAATTTTATAAAATATTACTTATAATATGAAAAATAGTTGTGGCCAATACAATTTTTTTTTAGAGTTTTCTTCTTTAAACTATAAACTATTTTTTAATCTAAAACAACATTTTAATGTTTTATGAAATATTATATACAACGGGAAAAATAGCTGCCATAAATATAAAAAATTCCTTTAAGTTTATGAAATATTATTTGCGACAGAAAAAATAGTTGTTTCAAATACTTTAGAGAGACCCGGATTTTATATGCCTGTCATTTTAAACGATTTATGCTCTGATTGGTACGATAGAAAATAGAAAGATAGAAAGTTGAAAGGATAGATAAAATATCATGTTTGATAAAAAAAAGGAAAATAAGAAAGATAGAAAAATGGATGGATTAGATTTTCTTCCAACTCACCAAAATCAATCCCTCTAAAATTGAGAAGAAAGTGGATGGAAAGTTAAATGTGTGTGTTGAAATGTATGTTATTTATCTATATATCATTTGATATATACATTTATCATATTTATCAATTACATATTATATTTTTTATTAATATTAAACATAAAAAAATTAATCATTTTTCTTTTTCATCCATATTATCAGACGGAGAATTACTGATGGTAAAGTAACTCCAAACTCCTATGAAAACAGTCCGTCGTCTTGGAAAGAGTAATATTATCTGAATCATAAAATTTGACCTAATCTATTAATATAATGATGTGACTTTAGTGAAATTATTATATCAACATCAAGTTCTAATGTGTAATAGGAGTTTATAGTCATTTCAAATGTCATAATGAATTAATTTAGTAAATTAGAACAATAAATTAAGTCTCACTAGTATTGTTCTATTGGAAAATAAACTAGAGATTTCACTTGGCAATCCTTGACCAAGAGTGAGAGTGATGGAAAACAAAGTGAAAGGAAGTAAAAATAAAATAAATTTTCTTACATGAATTTGTTTTGAAGGAAAATTGTAAAAATGTCTAAAAAGTTCATTCTATAGTCTGGGAAGCATGAAATGAGTTGTAAAAGAATGAACAAATATCTGTTATCATAAAATAGAACATGATTCTGGTGGTTAAGGCCCAAAAGTATAAACAACAAATTCAACAAGCACATTAAAAAAAAAAAATTAAATTCACAAGCATTGCATTGCTAGCCTTACAATTCTCATGAAAAATATTACTTGAGCTTACTTTGGAGGAACTAATCGCGAGATCTAATCAATTAGAATTGCCGGATTAAAAGTGCTTACATCTAACATTGAAATTCATAACTAATTCAACGACTATTCAATTAAGTCTCTGATTAGATTCACAAATTAAGTTTTTATAACATTGCTTAATTTATTTTTTGGGCTTTGTTGTGCTTACCAAACGAGGAATACTAGAGAGAACTAATTTAATATAGTCATTAGATTAATTATGAGTTCTAAAGTTAAATAAAATGAACGAGATGGGGACAATTGTTATCTGAACGAGATTGGGACGGTTGTTATCAGAATTAAATGGACTTTCTCGCGGGTGATCTAGTAAAAAAGACTTAGAACATAATTGGTCAAAATAATGTGATGGTCAAAGGATATTGGAGTCGAAATCGTTATACCCTTCCATTTAACCCACTTTGAATCCAATAGCTACATTAAATTAGGTCCAAATCGCAAATGGATACCAATTTTTTTACAAAATAGTTTACACTTTTTACATTCTATACTTCAAATATTATAATAACTACCCCTAAAGTTAAATAATATTGCACTAATATGTACAAAGCCTTTGTAGTTGCCGCTTAAGTTTCAAGTTTCCTTATTTCGTTGCTTTATCGCTTTCTAGATCACATTGGAGACTACAACTCTTTAAGTTAAATAAAATTGTTGGTTGCCATTTTAGATCACATTTTTATTGTTCTAATGTTTCAAATCTCTCTTTTTTAGTAAAGTCAAATTATGAGAAAGTTCATGTGTAATACTCAAATCAAAATTCATCATGCAAATAATTGCAGAGTTTTCAAGCATATGTAAACAAAACCACATATTGTTCACACTTTTCTGGGTCCACCTTGCTCTCCTCGACACGTTTTAATAAATTAAAATTTTGTACCTTTAAAGGGAAAGATGATGTGAAAGAAATTTGAGTTTTTTCCCAAATTCAGTCTCTCCACAAATTTTATTCCCAAACTTAGCTAGTTTTAAATTTATTTCTCAAACACAATCTTTTTTTAAAAAATGTCATCTCAAATGACGTCTTCATAGGTTAAAACATTATTTGAAATGATGATTTAAAATTAAAATTTTTTTATTTAAATCGTTATTTGGAATGATGTCTTTGAATGCGTCACTGAGAATGTCACTAAAAAAAGTAAATTGAAAACGACAACATAACAGGCGTTACCAAGAAGTTTAAAATAGCAATTAAAAAATGTCATTTTGAATGATGTTTTTAAAGGCATCACTTTAAATAACATTTTATTCCTTAATTATCACAAAGTTTGTGAACTTTTGTCAAGGTTAAAAACATCATTTGAAATGATGTTTTCTCCTGAGAAGACGTCATTTGGAATGACGTTTTTATGAAAAGACTGAATTTAAAAAAT